TTTAAAGTTCAAGAATGCAATTAGAGAAGAGACCAAAGCCAAATAGCAATGGGATTGATTATGCAGGTCCAGACTCCAGAACTGCAAGGCAGCTACCACCTTTACATTGCTATTATTTCCTACTTAAAACCCTTCCAAAGATTGGGTATACAAGAGGAACTAGATCAATGAACAAAAGATGTGTGTTGCCAACATTAAGTATATGATTTTTGGATCAAATGTCTAAAAGACAAAATCATAGCTATCTCCAGCATTAGGGAAGGAAAAAAGAACAAAGCATAGCAAGGATAAACAAATCCTTTTATTTATCATGGTCCTCATGCAAGTGAATCCAAGTTTATGTTCTTGCAGCGAAGGATCACTCAACGATAGAGACTTTCGGATCTCAGATTCTCTGCAATCTCAGTTTCCCAACGGTCACCATTCTCGAGCAGCTTCTCTTTGTCATAAAGAAGTTCCTGAGAACACCGAACAACAGGTTATGTCAGTAGTGTACACCAATTGGTTAATTTACCATCAAAACAATCCTCTGGTCACCTAATAAAAGAAAAGGGGTGTGAAAGGGCAAGGTCAAATGTTTAACAAATGTGGCAGGGGAAGAAAAACTCAAACTGTCATTTTAATCACAAAGCAGTCTTTGCAGAAGAAGACTTCTTATTGCATATCCACATTCTGAAAAATGAATCAGGATCTTTGCATTCAATATTTTTTTTTCTTACGGTTTTTCCAGTGTCAATTAGGAGTTAGGAGTGTGTTCTTGTTAATTGGTGATACCTTTATGCCCAATGAAAGATGTAATTCTACTGTGCCCTAAATAATTTCATTTTCTTGATATAAAATTATAAAAGGAAATGAAACATAGCCAACCTCATGAGTCTCTGTTGCAAATTCAAAGTTGGGCCCTTCAACAATGGCATCGACGGGGCAAGCCTCTTGGCAAAATCCACAGTAGATGCATTTTGTCATGTCAATATCATACCTATCATATCAAATTCACACATGAGCAATTGCATGGGATGCATTTGCAAATGCCCGCACTAATTATCTAGAACTCTAGAAGTATCCCGAGCTGTGCACTTAAAAGTGAGAATGATATTGTCTACCTGGTAGTTCGTCGACTTCCATCTTCTCGCTCCTCAGCCTCAATAGTGATAGCTTGAGCAGGACAAATCTGTGATAGCCACATCAATCACATTAAACAAATGTTAGAACAATATAAAATATAATGAAAGTACAAGGTAATATAGCCTAAATAAACACTTACAGCTTCACAAAGTTTGCAGGCAATACAACGTTCCTCTCCTGTTGGATAACGACGGAGGGCATGTTCTCCACGAAAGCGAGGGCTTAAAGGACCCTTCTCAAATGGATAGTTGATCTGCCAGTTGGAAATACCGTTACTCAAATATTCTATATATTATAGAGCAATAAACTAGTCAAGCCAAACCAAACCTCTAAGGCTATCCTCATCCCAGCAAGTGAACCCCTTTCAAGATGATGTGGAAGGTAATGTGGATTTCTTTTTTGTTTTATTTTGTTAGCTTATAGCAAGCTTGCAAGCCTGACTATATAGTTTTATTTCTTTTTTTTTTTTATTTGTTATTTTATTATTACTTCATTATTATATTTATAATATAAAATGAAAGTGGGACCACTTTTGAAAGTGAGAGAGTATTGCAGGGATGTAGAGAAAATAGTGAAGAATTTACAAATTTGATGATGTGGAAGTAGGATCCACTTTTGAAAGTGAGAGAGTATTGCAAGGATAAGGATAGCCTAATATTTGAACTTGGCTTGCAAGTCACAAACCTAAGAGAGTGCCTAAGTTCAGCTTAGTTATAGCTATCAGTTGCTTGAGTTAGGCTCAACATGATTAACTTAAACAACCCAAGCCAATGCGCTTGATTGGATCTATGAAAAAAGAGGCAAAGAAAGAGATTATCTGGCATTCTGGCTATCAATGGCCAGATCTGAAGGCTGGTCATGGCCATGTGGAAATGGCAATTATGGGTGGAGGAAAAGAGATGCAAAAAGGATGAAGAAAATGGAGAAGGTAGGACTTCACTGAGGTTGACCCGGGCTCTATTAACGAGCTGAATATGGCCTGCCTAAAACATATCCAAACTGAGAATACCAAGCCAACCATGTCACAAATGCTTTGGCCCATTAATAGCCCTACTAAAGAGAGAGAAAAGGATTAACCAAATCAAACATAATCACCCTGGGAGAGAAGCAACTATAGGGAGTCCCAAACAGCCAAACTAAAGACAAAAAGTAGACCATCACAGAAGGAAGGGGGAAAAACCTATAACTTACAGTGACTTTCGTGTCAAAGAAGTACTTGAGTGTCAGCATCAGACCCCGAACCATTTCAGTCAGAAATAGTGTATTAATGCTCCTCTCAAAAACTGCACTTAGTTGAAAAGGATGAAGAATTTATAATTGCATTAAGAGGAATATAGAAGGAAAGTAAGTTAAAACTATTGTAGAAAGGCTTCTACCAGAATTCCAATCTTTTGACAGTTCTTTTGCAAGCTGCTCTCTCTCTTCATCATCTGCAAAATTCAAATAGCAATACTCTTATAATACTCCACCTGGACCATGCATGTTGAATTAATACTACATTCATAAACATTCAATTGTAGGATGGCAAGAAATTATAGTGCAACATTTTGAACTACTTGATACCAGGAAAGAAACACAAGTTTTTATGGTATTTGGACATTTTGGCAGATCAAAAGTACCCATAACCTAAGCTATTGCATAGCCTTTTCTTTTACATGGCCCTTGTTCATCCTTTCGAGTCATAATGTGCTATCCAGTAATACACACAAGTGCTTGTTAAATTTTCTAGTTAAAGGCCATATGGATATCCATAGGAGTCATCAAAAAAACAATTTTTTCTTTCTGAAACACATAGATAACTGTTAATTATATATGGCATTTATTTTATTTTTTTCAATTAATAATCTGAATTGAAAAGCAAATACAAAAACTGAAAGTTTAAAAAATTAAGAGCAAAGCACAAACCTTTGTCAGTTGAAAACGAATGCTTTGTAGCAAATGATCGTGTACCATACAAGGTTCCATAATGGTTAGAGCCTTGTAATGCTTGTCCTGCCAAAACCTATACTCCCCAATGGACAAAAGAGAGGGATACAAATCAATTTTCCATGTGAGACAACAGAGGAGAAATGCCTTATAACAGCGTACAAAGGTGTTTCGGGCATCTTATTAAGCAGTTCAATCTTCCTTTAACACAAATCATCAAATAAGAATATTTGAAAGGAGCATAAAGTTTAGCACTCTAATCCAGAGAATTCCTTAACACAAATCATCAAATAAGAATATTTGAAAGGAGCATAAAGTTTAGCACTCTAATCCAGACAATTCAACAACGGAGAAAAAATCAGAAGTAAATTCGTCTCCCGAATGAATTTAGAGCCTAACATAAATCCTAGACTCGCGGAAATTGCAGTATATACAGAGATTGACACGATTTATATATATAAATATAAAGATGTAGGCTGCGGAGAGGGGGATACGAAGGAGAGCTTACAAGCTGCCGAGAACGAAGCGCAGACATCGATTTACGAGCTAAGATGAAAGCCATGGCCGATTCGATGCCGGAAAGATGCGAGGCGTTTCTCCGTTCAAGTCCAGGGAGATCGGAAAAGGAGTGTGGAGTATGTATGCCAGCGAGTCCGATTGTAGCTCATAGTCGGTTCGGGTCGCGAAATATTTGTTCTAACTGATTGGGCCAATAATTTGGCCTCCAGTAAAGTTGGGCTCATAAGGAATGTCCATTCACTCAAGCCTAATATTTCCAATCAATCTTTCATGAGTAGTTATGCTGCATGGTGCATACGGATGCAAAAACGACGTCGTTTTATTAAAAACGTGTGTCTCCTTTTAAAAAAAATTCAGATTTGATTCCCAGCAATAATATTATGTTGTTCATTCATTCTGGAATTTTAGTTCATAGATTATGAAATTTTAGTTCATTGATTCTGGAATTATAGTTCATCGATTCTGGAATTGTAGTTTATCGATTTTGAAATTTTAGTTCATAGATTCTGGATTTTTAGTTCATTCATTTTGGAATTTTTAGTTCATAGATTAGATTCTGAAATTTTAGTTCATATATTCTGAAATTATAGTTCATCGATTCTGAAATTATAGTTTATCGATTCTGGAATTTTAGTTCATATGTTGTTGCTGGGAATCGAACCTGATTTTTTTTTTTAAGGGAGACGCACGTTTTTAATAAAACGACGTCGTTTTTGCATCCGTATGCCGGATGCACAGCATAATTTGCCATCTTTCATGGTGAACTTTTCATATTTGGTTTACAATTGAGTTAGTACACAATGTAGTCATCTATTATAGTAATTTTGTTAATTTAGTCTTAATAATTTTTTGTGCTTAATTAGGTTATTAACTTTGATAGTTTTACTTAATTAAGTCATCGATTGTTAGAATTAAAAATTAAATTGAAAAAAAATCGCTATAGTCGATGACTAAATTGAGTAAAATAAGAAAGTAATTGACCATTGGATCTGTTTGGTAACATAATTAGCTTATCAGTTAATTTTGACTTATTTGATCACTATTAGTTGTTTGATTTGGTTAAATAAGCAATATGTACAGTTTATTGCTTCACAATGCTAAAATTAAAAAAACTACTCAAAGTAATTTTTTCAATAAACTTTTTAAGAAAGTCATTTTACATGTAACCAGCTGACAGCTATTTTACCAACCACTTTTCTACAATCAGCTAATGCTATTAACTAGTTAAACACACTATCATAATTAGCTAACAGCTATTTACCTAACACCCCTAATATCATTTGGGGACTTAAAAATTTAAGGGGTCTAATGCACGAGCATAAATTTCCAGGGAGCAAAGTGAAATTATCTCTAAGAAAAATGTGCACTTAATATCGCATTCAAAATTTGGATAATTAAAATAAAAAAATAACTTCTCAAAAAAAAAAAAAAAAAAAAAAGTACGATGGCGCTGGCCGTGCACGGCGGTTATCTTCCCTCCAAATTCCAATTATGGCGGCGAACCGTCGTCTCTGAAATCCGACCAAACCCGCCGTCGTTATTCATAACTACAAAGCTAAGCGACATTGACATCCACCGCGTCCGTGACCTCTACTCCGATTGCAACCACTCTTGCCACCGCTTCCCCAACCTCGACGCCGACGGCCGAGTCGATCCCGTCGACCTCAACAAGCTCCGAAAAGCTCTCCGCCACAGCTCCGTCGTCGTCTCGGTATTCACCCAGCCGGATTTCTCCTCCCCTTTGGCGAGTATTGGAGGTGATTGGGTTCGGACGGCGATGCCTGTGACGCCGGCCAACGGCCAGCTGGTTGGATTTGGTCGCGCCGTCTCGGATTCTGCGCTCACTGCTTCCATCTACGATGTCATGGTCCGATCATTACCTTCTCACCACTGTGATTTTTCTGTTTAGTTCTTCAACATTTTCAGCCATTTAACCATAGACGCCTTTTACAAGAAAGCCATTTGATGCTAATTATTACTCCCTCTATCCCATTTATGTGTAAGTTTGGTTAATGTGGTTTTTCTGAAGTTGTTTTCAATTCAATTGCTAAGATTAGTATTAGGATATAAAATTTATATGCTTAAAAACTAAATTAAAAGTATTATCAAACCAAAAAAAAAAAAAAATCATAAGAAAATAGTTGATTTGATCAAATCACAGGTAAAATGGGAAAGAATGAGTACTTCTGATTATATTGTATGGAGTATATGAATGTTGGTTCTTGATTGGCGGAAACTAACCTGCTATTATGGTTTTATGCAAGGATAAGAGTTATGTCTATGACTATAAGTATGATTGTTTTTCAGTAATTTGTAGGTTATTCCTCCATTAAGGCGGAGGGGCATTGGCAGGAGGATAGTTCAAGTGATACTAAGGTTGCTAATTTGCTGTTCTTTGATTACATTCCCAAGCTGTTAATCACCAGCTGAGCTGCAGTGTCTAGTTATGTTAGAACTCGATCTAGCTTTTGGTGATCCATTTCCAGTTTATTTAGATTACTACAAGTGACTGCATTGGTTCTTGAGTTTAATTTACATTCTGATTTTTTCTTGGCAGGATGCTAACAAATAAAGGCATATATGATATAGCAGCCCTCTGCTCCGATGTAGAGAAGTAAGTTCATTATTACTAAGTAGTCGTGCATGAAGTTGTATGTTACATATAAAAGATACGGAGTACTTATGATTCAAAAGATGTGTTTTTTTTTTCAAATGTCTATGAGATTGACACCTAAGATGTGCAATCAGGAGCTCTTGCATATTAGTTTTAAAGATGTGAAAGGAAATGGAAAAATGTTTGTGTCTGTAAATCTAGTAATCTGTTCATATGAGCATCAAAATGATGCTGTCTTGGATGATCTGTGCTATATTATACCGTGTCTCTAAGAAATGGGAAAAATGTTCTGTCTGTAAATCTAGTAATCTGTTCATATGAGCATAAAAATGATGCTGTCTTGGATTATCTGTGCTATATTATACCCTGTCTCTAAGAAATGGGAAAAATGTTATGTCTGTAAATCTAGTAATCCATTTATACAGTGTCTCTTTTTACTTCTATCACATTGAAACTGGCCCTAATTCTCCTCACTTTCTCCCGTCTTTCTTCTGGTGTAAAAACGATTTTTTTGGGGCTATATTTATTGTTTTGTTCATATACTGTCAACAGACCCTTCTTTAGCGCATGTGGATTCGGAGATGATATACTGGGATCCACTACAATGATGTATACTAGGTCTACTTCTCAATATTCAAATGGAGATCAGGTGGTTAAAAACATAGGCAGAAAGCAGATGCTAATTCCACCACTGAGAGCGGGCATTAAATCATGAGCTTTATATGCTGATGATAGAGTTGACAACATAAGATGCCTTCATTAAAATCTACTCCCCAGTAAATTTCCCAAGGTTCAAGGAGCTCCATTTCAAAGACAAAAGGGGAGATGGTGCTCATGATGATATAGCTAAAGTTATTGAAATCTATATAATTCTGTAGAAATGTGATTTATGGTGGAATATTTCTTTACAGACAAATTTAGTAGTATTCCAACTGACTATAGCTGTAGAATTTATAGATAAATTACTTTTTTTTTGTGTGGACCCCCCTCTTCATTATCTTCACAGTTTTCTGCTGCCAACTTTTTGACTAATTTTCTGATTCTTGCCCATCTGTGATGCACTAATGAGTCATATTATGGAAAGGAGTGAAGTGGATTACTCTTAACAAAACCTAGGTATAAAGCACAGCCATTTCACCTTTCTTCATCAGCTTTATCAAGGAAAGAGCCTGGAAGAGGCCACATTGCTTTGTGTATCAGCTACTGAGATTCACTGGAAATGGGGAAGATATGGATTGAAGTTGGTATGATGTCTGCTCGGGGGCTTCAGCGTACATCTTCTCTGTGGAAGCTTCAATGGTATGCTGTTGGATGGATTGATCCGAATGACAAGTACTGCACCAAGATTGATTCGTCAGGTAATGTGAATCCTGTTTGGAAAACAAAGTTTTCTGCTTTAGTTGATTCATCTAAACCAGACTTCCAAGACTTGGCCCTGCATGTTGAGGTTTACAGCCGAGAACCCATCTTCCTTAGAGAAAAGCTTCTGGGGACTGCCACTATTCTCCTAAAAGAATTTCTTGAAAAGTATGCAAACATTTCAGAGGCTTCTTCAAGGTCAGTTGAAGAAGTTGGGAGCTTTCAGCTGAGGAAAAAGAATTCCAACAAACCTCAGGGTTTCATTGATATCTCAATCAGAATTTCAGAGGAAAATGAAGAGCATAGCACCTACCCAGGTATAAGCACTTCTTTTTGGCCTTCTTCTCCAACTTTAATTTCCCTTCTTTGTATGCAATTACTTTCAGTAAATGTGCAATTTATATTCTTGTATTTAATTATTGCCATCAAAAGGCGAAATTCTCTTCCCCTCAGGACACCCCGGCCCGACAAGATAGTTGTGGGGTAAATCATGATGACTTAGTGGTCTATTACGTGGGAGGACCAGTACCTGGTGCCCAATGCCACAAGGAGCCCACCACATTTGGTGTAACTCTCACACTGTGGCTGTCAGGGCTCGATCTTATGTCATTGCCCACAATCTACCACCTAGGAACCAACTGAGCTGCCCGTGCAAGCTTTAATTATTGCCCTTAAGCTTAGGTGACTACAAGTGTTTAATTTGTGTTTAATGTTCTTTAGGTGAGTATGGGGGCTTTAAGCTTGCAGATAACAGCAATGGCATCAATTTGGCTAATGGATATGGACCCCCACAGTCATACCTCCCATCATCATCTCTACCCCCCTTGAAGTTGCCTGAAAATCATCCACCAGGAAATGGCCAATATCCCCATCCGGTGCCAATACCAACCAACTATTATCATCCATCAATAAGTGGACCAAGCTACCCATCAGCAGGGCGACCAAGCCATCAACCATCTTGGACGACTCCTCCGCCTCCTCTACCTGCTAATGTTGGTTACGCTCCCACTTTTCTCCCGAGGCCCAATAACATGTCGTCCAGTTACATAAACATGCCATCTAATGGAGCAGCACCTGCACGAGGTCCTGGATTTGGCGTTGGAGCCGGACTTGGAGTTGGTGCATTAGCAGCAGGTTCTATGATCTATGGCAATGACTTCATGTCGGGATTTGATCTTCCTAGTGGATTACAAGGTGCCTCTCTAACCATTTCAACAGACCCTCCCTTTTGAAAAATCCAATTTCAATCTGTTGTAACATGGTTCATAACTTCATATACATTTCAAGTTCATATGGTTCGGTATTGAATTAAGAACACCACTCCCTGTATACATCTCATTTCAATCAAGATTTTGCAGAGAGTTTTCAATGTTCCATGAATTTCGGTTGCATCTATTCTGCATCGTAATGACATAAGAATTCATAGATAACGGATTGGACAAATAAATACCAATCCTAAGTAACTGCTTGTAGGCGTGGCTCGTCTACCCCTCCAAACACCCTCTGAAGAAATCTGTCCACAATGGATATAAATTCTTCAACCTTCTCTTCATGAGGCAAGTGACCAGAATTCTTGATTATTTCAAAGCAAGATCCTGGAATAGCTCGCGATAGTCTTTCAGAGTTCCAAGCAGGGACAAGGCGGTCACTATCTCCAGTGATAATCAAAACTGAACCTCGTAATTCAAATCAGAATTATCAGGATCAGAGTGTTAAATCTGAAACCTAGGACATGAATTCATTGGCAGAACTGCAGAAACAAGTAAGATGTTTAATAACCTGGACACGAGATTTCACTCAGTCTTTCTGAAAGTGGTGGCTTTGATCCCGACTCAGAATCTGTAAGCATTGCCACTGTGAACTCAACCAGAGCCCGATCCCAACCTTTCACCCTCAGAGGCTGCAAAAAACGACAAATCAAGATGACAATATATACAAAATATTTCGCGAACATTGTATGTCTTGAACTTTATACAAGAAAGAGATTTACTCTTTTAGCTACGACTCACCTTTGTATACCCTTGCAAGATATGATCGGTTACTTGCTTTGAATCGTACCATGAATTTCGAACAGCAAGTACACCAAACTTATCAATTATCATCCTCACCTGAAAATTTTTGATAATTTGGGATGCAAAGAAAATATTTCGGCTTATCATTGGAAAATAATTTAAATCAAGTTTAGAACAGATCCCATTACCAGCATAACACCAATGGTGGAGCGCAAGAGTGCTGATAAAGCTTTCCTATATAGAGAATTAAGCGTTTCTCCCATCCCTTTAACCATGCCTACGATTGTTTCTGCAACATATTTGGTAAACTTTGATAAAATACTGAAAATCCCGGTAAACACATTCCTTTTATTCCCTGGCTCTGATTTCTCGTCTTCTTTATAACTTTTATCTCCTCTTTGGTCATCTTTGGCTACTTTTGGTGGAGTAAATGGTGCAACAATTGCGGGGGCAACAAGAATCAAGGCAGCTACACGCTCAGGTGCTTCAAAATATGCCTCCACTGCTACAAGGGAACCGGCTGAATGTCTGGTATCTCGTTAGTTTGTAACAAAAGAATTCAACTTTGAGAATGCATATGAAAGAGTGAAAGACTCCATTATGCTATGCTAGTTTGAAGGACCGATTAAAACACGAGAAGTGAAATTGAACATACCCCACTAGAACTGCCTTCTCTGCTGCTAAGAAGTCGATGAAGTGTAGGGTGGCAAGCACAGAAAACGTTATGGAGTAAGGGTTTAAAGGTCGAGCATCTCCCATCCCGGGAGATGACTTCACAACCGGATTAGGTCTTGAGGTCAATCCAAAGGCGGGTCTATCAAAGGCAAGAACTTTTGAACCACTGATACTCGCCAGTCGCTTCATAGCCCGGTTCCATGAAAAAACCGAGGCTCCAAATCCATGTAACAAAATCATAGGAAAGTTCAGTCTTTTACTTGGATAACGAGACTGAGAGCCACTCCCTTCTCCTCCAGACAAGTTTCGAGGCTCTGGGTCGCATATCTTATGGTGTATTTGTACTCCCTTAAATTCACAGAAACAACTATCAGGGTCAGCCAGAACTGCTGGTTCCTGCAGTTCATCCTGGTCTATTCCAGCTATCTGCCTTTTCTGTTTTTCTCTTGCTCCAAGCACCTGTTCTGGAAAAGTGCACACAAAACATCAACAACCCTAGACCATAACAACTCTAATTTCCCCAAAGTTTCTTACTTTAAGTTACATAAGATAAGTTTAGTGACATATTTGACGAATTTTTCCTTAACCCAATATTCAAGAATCAAGATAGACATAAATGGCAAAAGAGGGCAGCAAAATTACCAGAATTAGCACCTGCAGAGGAGGAAGCAGCAGCTTGAGGTAGGGTTTTCAAGATGGGTTCTTTGGGAATAAAAGAAAGCTCTGGTCTTCCATTCATCCTTAGATCAACAGATCTTCTTCCACCCCTCCAGAGCTTAGCAGGGAATTCAGTGAAGGCAAGAATGGCAGACTGCTGAGACTGCAAATGCACTCCACAAACAATCATCTCTGACTGACAACTTCAACTCTGAAATGGTTTGGAATTGAATGAATGAATGATTTCTGGGAATTAGGAATTTGTTGTGTTATCCTCTCTTCACTTTAGCAGTATGGACTTACACTGTCTTTTAGGCCAAGAAAGTGTACTGTGCCATTTCTGCAATCATCATTTGCCACGCGCCCTCGATATAGAGATTACTGACTGGAATGAGAAACAAAAACACGATTTTTAAAAAAAGACAACTTTTTATTTAATATTTTAAAGAGCAACGGTTAAGTGCTGATTGAGTTTTAATCTACTTTTAGTGTTCTTTTTAGTAATTTTAATATTTTTTATTGACTCATTAGATTTTTTTTTTTTAGTACTACTGACACTGTTACAATGTAGAGAGTCACTAGACCATAAAATTATTGGCTGGCTCGATTAAATGTTAAAGAAAAATACTTCTTATCCTTCCTAAATTTCTCATTCCATATTTCCCTTCATAATATAACTTTCAATCACTGAGTGATCATGAATATGCTAATCAATCAATCAATAGCTTAAAAGTTAAATACCAACCACTAGCTAAAAAAAGAAATTTAAATCAATCATATAATGTCAAGTCAAAAGCAAAAAATGGTAAGGAAAATAAATTAGGACAAGAAGACAAAAGATCTGTCCACACTATTGCTGTCAAGATTCAAATCTTGATCTTTTATGTCAAATATTACTTACTGAACCAATAAACTAAATTTATACAATTTTTTTTTGGGAAAATGACACTTTTTCTCCCTGATTTATATACTTATAGCACTTTTCCCCCTGTATTATTTAAGTGGCTCTTTTCCCCCCTAAAATGTTAAATGGACATATTTACCCTTAAAATAAATATTTAAAATAAATATTTCATTTATTTTTCTTCTCCAACAAATTATTACTATAATTTGGTTCAAACCAAACAGATATTATAGCAACCAAACCAAAATATTCCAATTACAATTTAGAATCAAAACGCGATATTTAGAGTTTATTAAAATCGCAAATCGAAATGGCCGGTTCATGTTCCGAACTGAAAAAATAAAATACATTTATTGTTAAATTTAGACTATTTTAAAATAAAAAATAAAATAAAATTTAAAATAAAGACGGTTCAAAATCACGAACCGGATCCGAAACCGCCAGTTCACGGTTCATGATCCAGTTTTTTTTGTTCATAAATTTAATAAATTGAAATCTAAATATTGGATTCTAGATCTGAATCATAACCGGAAACTTTTAATTCGATTGCTATAGTGTCCGGTTCAGTTCGAACCGAACCGTGGTCATTGCTACATATACACAATAATTTGTTGGAGAAGTAAAATAAATAAAATATTTACTTTAAGGGTAGAAATGTCAATTTAATATATCAGGGGAAAAAACCACCACTTTTAAAATAATTGAGGGGGCTAATATGCTTACATAAATAATTGAGGGGAAAAAAGTGCTATAAGTATATAACTTAGTGGGAAAAAGTGTCATTTTCCCTTTTTTTTTTTATTATCTATTAATCTTTTGAATTTAAATTGTTGGTTAAATTGGACAGTTATAGAATTGGTTATACTACATTACTACATAGTGTATAGTGAGGACTTTTATCGGCTAGAATGACAAGGATATATACATACATATATATATATATATATATATATATATATATATATATATATATATATATTTTACACGCAATGACAGAAGTAGATAGCAATTCTTAGCATAGCACTGTTCGTTTCCCAAGAAAAAGATTACAAAAAATGGAAGCTTTAGTATGCAGAAAGATCGGCGACCCAACAATCCGACCGAACTCGGACGATTCTCCACTCACCTATTCAACATCCCATCCGATCCCGGAACTCGTCTCGCCGAACTCAGTCCGAGTCCGGGTCAAAGCCACGAGCTTGAACTTCGCCAATTACCTGCAAGTCCAAGGGTTGTACCAAGAGAAGCCTCCGTTGCCGTTCATCCTTGGCTCCGATTACTCGGGAATCGTCGACGCCGTCGGCCCCAAAGTCACTAAATTCAGGGTCGGCGACCGTGTGTGCTCTTTTGCCGCGCTTGGTTCATTTGCCCAATTCATCGTCGCCGATGAATCCGATTTGTACGTTATTTCGTCAGTTTTGTTTTTGATTTTGAGTTCTTTTAACTGCGTATGCATTTCAATTGAAGATTTTGTTTAATTCTCTTGCTCGATACTGCAAGACACGCTCATATTGGATTGTGAACTCTATTTCTTAATCTTACAAATTCCTTTTGTGATTGGTTATGGAAAAAGCTGAAACTTTATTCAATTCTACTCCGTATTTGATTCTGTTAAGTATTCTGATTAAAGTTGGTTGAAGGTTTCGAGTGCCTGATGGTTGTGATCTAGTTGCGGCTGCTGCACTTCCTGTGGCATATGGAACATCACATGTAGCCCTAGCTTACAGGGCGCAGTTGCGTCAGAACCAGGTTCGACAGCATTTCTTATTCTTATGGAATTGACAAATGGCAATGGTGGTTTGTTGAGTAGAGTACTTAAAATGTGAGGCAATGAGTCTGTACAGGGAACGGTTCCTGAGCTATAGATTATAGACAAAAACACAAGATCGAGCCCGGCAACTAGAGTGTGGGAGTTGCTCCCAATGTGGTGGGCCCTTTTAGGCGTTAGGCACTGGTCCCCCAACCTAATGAGTTCAGTTCAGTGGTAGATTGTGGGCAAGGACACAAGATTGAGCCCGACAACTGTAGTGTGGGTCCCACACTATAGTTGTCGGGCTCAATCTTGTGAGAGTTATTCCTAATGTGGTGGGCCCTATTAGGCACTAGGCACTGGTCTCCTTCACTATCCTGTTGGGCTGGGGTGTGGGAGCTCTAGGGTGAGGGAACTTCGCCTTTTGAAGGCAAAATGTGAGACACTGCTCCTAAATGACAGGTTTTGCTGGTTCTTGGAGCAGCTGGAGGTGTTGGGGTTTCAGCAGTACAGATTGGAAAGGTTTGCGGAGCTACTGTTATTGCTGCTGCGAGGTACTTGTGTTCTTGATCATTAAAATGCTCAATCACTTAATAGTACCTGATTCATTCTCCTGTTGTTGGGTTGTTGCTATTTATCAGCTTCTTTAGGGGGAAACCTTTGTGGATCAATGGATCATGTGCAATGAAATGAGACATTGTATTAACCTTTTGAAAATGTAATGCTATTGAACTTACAGTAGTGTTGATTGGTGGATCTTAGGGGAGCTGAGAAGGTGGATTTTTTGAAGTCGATGGGTGCTGATCACGTAGTTGATGTGAGCAAGGATAACGTTATTGAGAATGTTAGGGCGTTTCTAAAGTCAAGAAAGCTCAGGGGGGTTGATGTCTTGTATGATCCAGTAGGGGGAAAGCTTTCGAAAGATAGCTTGAAACTGTTGAATTGGGGAGCACAGATTTTGGTTATTGGGTTTGCGAGTGGACAAGTGCCCGTCATCCCAGCAAATATTGCTCTCGTTAAGGTACTGTTTTTATGCATTTGCGCTTTTTCTGTATTTACATTCATCTTTGGTCTGTTTTGTGACTCGTAATCTACAGAACTGGACAATACACGGACTCTACTGGGGAAGCCATAAGATACACCGCCCAGCTGTGCTTGAAGATTCTCTCAACGAGCTATTATCTTGGTTGTCGAGGGGCTTGATTACCATAAACATCTCTCATACTTTCGGCCCATCAGAGGTAACAAGCTATGACCTTGTTTCTACGTTTCGTTTCATAGAACTAGTTCAGATAACCCCGATATTCACTGCACCTGATACACAACAATTCTTTGCTTCTGGCAGGCCAATCTCGCTTTCTCTGCCCTCAAAGATAGGAAGGCGATCGGGAAGGTGTTGCTTACTTTTGGCGATGGCAAGACCGTCGGGCAATCTAAGCTTTAGGTAAACATTCGAGATGAAACGCGGAACGTCTTACTTATGATGTTTTCATGGAAGCACAGATGTATCTGCAAATGTTTCACCATGTAGTCATGGAGCTCCTGCCAGCACTGCTCCAAGGACATCCTTGAAAATAATCAAGTTTTATAAGATAATAATAAATAATACGAAGTATATGTGTTATTACGAGAAAAACCCGCAGTAACTATGAGTTTTGCTTTCTTTCTTACTTTTATTTCAAAAAGTGAGGAGCATAATTGGAAAACATATAGCATTTACTTTAATTCCTTAAAAAGCGAGCAAACAACTAGTGTGACAACCAATTTGAAATGAAAAATACTATGTACTGATTCTCATTTTTCTCACGTGAAAAAAAGTAACTTATCAGAACCCGTCACATCATTTAACTTGCCAGTCTTGTGGAGAAAGTGGTCCTCAGTACAATTTTTTATTCCTAACTAGTCACCTTTCACCTGTCAATACAAGAAGGAAAGGGACTATGGGGAGCCACAATGTGAAAGAAAGAAATTTTGTAAGAATTAGGGCCTTAATCAACAAGAACTGCCATACACCACACATCAAAATGACAATGGTCCGCCTCAAATGGATAGTCGAGTGAGTGTAACATGATTCTCGTACTAGAAAGTTCCGAATTCGATTCTTGCCAACACCATCTTCTTGGTTAAACCCGTCACATATAATCTTCCCAGTGCGATTTACCTTTCCTGTGTGGTTTGCAGAACTCATTTCCGAGAGAGAATACTCCAAAGAAACTAATCACATAAACAAAATGAGACTGCCCTAAGGCCCTAAAGATAGAGGGGACCATAAAATGACAGATTGTTTACAATAATACAACATGCATCAGAGGCTCAGCAGCTCTGATACACTAACAAATTAGCCTATTTACACCCCAAAATGATGAGGGACCACCCTAGAAGTAGAAATAGTTGACATTTCACAGGACCCAAAAAAATTTAAATCAAAAAATATTCTGTAAACAACCTATAAAACACACCATATTATTGCAGGAAATTAAAAAGGTCCTTTTCTAAACAGGGTTTGAAGTAGCAGAGGTCCCCCCAATCCCTTCCAGCTCTCTATAATTGGCAAACAAAATGGCATCACCTCAGTCCCATGCAACCCTAAGTTTCGTAATCCGACAAGTCGAGTGACCTAATTGCGAATAAACTACGTAACAACTAGCAATCAACTCAGGCTACAACCACATGCAAAGGACACTGCTGAGGCAACTTTCTTTTCCAGATATAAAAAAAGTGAGCAAATGTTTCTATAGCAAATGGAAAAAGGGAAAAAGATTGGTACTTTCTTTGAGATTCGAGTTCAGGAGAGAAACCTGATCAGCAGACTTTAGATCTTCCCGGTAGATATTCTCGAGCATAGTTGCATTCCAGGAACTTGTTCTCCATAACCAAGCTTTCGCCTTTTCGACTGCTGTATAGTTAAAGCCTGTAAGAAACCTCGTACTAAGATCCAGAAGTATGCATTGAAGCATGTGCTCCATCTCAACTAAAAGCCTAAGCTGATAGTTAGATTGCACATTAATGGTTATATGCTCGGTGGGTTCCAAGCAACACGTTGACCGTAGCCATGACTTTTGGTCTGGCTCTGATACCAAATTGAAGCATGTGCTCCATCTCAAGTAAAAGCCTAAGCTGATAGTTGTATGCTCAACATGCTTCATATCAAGCAACTGTGAAGTAGTGCAAAAGAAACAAATGTCATAATCATAGTTCTTCCATTAACGAGCAGGGAAAAGCTCGGGTTGGGAAGCTTTGAAATGGCATTCATCATTCAAGGTAATCATAAGATCATAAGAAATGTCATGTAGGAAACGTTATTGTTTGGATGAAGGAGATGAGTATAAATGCGGGGAAGAGCAAAAATGGAGGTAATAGAAAAAGGGAGCTCCCTTCAGTCCAAGCAAAGAAAGAGCGGGATAGAAAACTATCTCCCGCATCATTCACTCGATCACAGTAGCACAAAGCGTAATCTTTTCTACTGAGTGATTGGATGAATGAGGTGGCAGCTAATTCAACCCCAATTCTCATCCATGAGTGGGCTGAAGGAAGCTCTCTCAGACCATTCCCCAATGCAATAAACTTCGAACCATTTTATGGCATAATATTAAGACATAAATTCACAAATTCTATCATTTCAAGTCGCCTTCTTAAGAGATGCAATGTAACACAAGAAAAATCAGAGCCCCTTCAATTCCATTTTCACCAGAAGTTAAAAGGCACAAAAACGAAAAGCACAAAAAATGCAGAAGCCAAGCCTATGATTAAAATAGCGGAGGGCTGATGGTTCCATTTCACGAAGCAAAGAAGAAATGATAACAATAACCTCGTCTAAAAGGTGAAAAAGCAAAGTGTGGGGGCAAATGGTATTACTTCTCTCCTCGTTCCTGCTTGAAATATACCTAAATGGAGCATTTCCACCAGTATCGTTTCATCTAAAAATAAGTCCTTTTTCTATGGTTTGTCAATACCTCTGCACATATCGTTACCCATCTGCAGAAACTTAAATGGATTTCATAAAAAAACTAAAATGGATTTCATAAAAAGAATTACCCGTTTACATATATCCCTATGGTTAGTTCAATCACACAAAGCCAAGAAACAAAAACTTCTCAGCCAATCCGATTAGTCCCAGAAAAGCATTACAAAACCGAAAACCAAAAAGTAATGATCAACATACTATGAACTCTCCATAATCAAATGAAAATCGCACCTCAAAAGAGCTACACAATACCAATAAATCCCTTGATCCTAACCAAAAGCCATAAATCATCACAGATACTGGGCCAAATTAACTCATTCACAAAACCTAATATGAACAGTAGGCCAACAAAACTCTCCCAGTATGATGAACATGCATTACCAAGACTATCTAATAAAGCAATTAACACTTTAACAGTCCCCAGCAAAATTAGACCACAAGAAAACCTTAAAAGGTACCATCTTTGGGCTGAAACTGCAAAAAAGAAAGGATAAGGTAATAGACAGAAGATATAAGAACATAAACTGCTAGAAAAATCTGAAACCCCATGGTATCTCAAGCAATTCTTGATATGCTTTAACTACCTCATTCACTTCAGGTGCTTATGAATGCCACTTCACTGCAATAAATAGAGACAGGAAAGGGTAAATCAGTCCACACGAGTAGCTCAGTTGGTTCATGAGTGACAGATTAAGGGTAAATCAAAAAGTAAAGAAAACATTTATTAAAAAAGGGGGAAAGAAAAAGAACAGTGAAGCAGTGAAAGGGCAGTGTTTGATTGGGAAAAAGGGCAAAAAATTTCTCCTTTTTTTCTTGCGGGAAATAAGGGAAGAGGATGTGTAGAAAAATGGGAGAGGGTATAAATACAAATGAAGATGATGGGTCGCTTTCGCCATGAGAATCAGAGATGAGAAAGCGACTTTTAATTTAATATCAATATCTCTTCAAATCTTCTTTCTTCACACATTCACACAGCTCCTTCTGTTACACCCACATATATGTATGCATATAGTTAGAGATACAAAGATACTGCAGGAAATTGCAAAATGGCAGGTGAAAGAGAGTGAAAAATCTTTTCTTTTTTTTTTTTTTTTTTTTTTTTTTAAATCTTGAAATCCCACAATGGAGTGAGCAATAGAAGGAGGGAGGGGGGTGGGTGATCTCATGCTTGGCCATTAAATGCTCCTGCATTCATGAGTGATGAGTTCTTGCATTTGGGCATTTTCAGTGAAGGGTGTACTATGTTGTCTATGTAGAAATTGTTGGATTATGTCATTAAATAATCAGTAAATTCAATCACAGATTTGACCAAGCACCAAATTATTAGCCATTTCATTTTTCAAAGATACGCGTCACAAAAATCATACGATAAGATAAGATAAGTAAGATCGTATAATATTAAATTTTAACTGATTAGTTGCATATAGTCTGAACTCTATAGTGTATGCTTGCATAATATCGAGTTTTGATATGTAATGGGTGGACTCTATATTTCCAGTAATTCTTAAGGGTCTTGTCTCGATCTAATGAGTGTAGTGAGAACTAAATTCATGTAATTTTTTCCTTTTAATTCTGGGTTGGAACTTGGAAGAGTAGAAAAAGACATGGTTATGAATGTTATCATCATCAAGTGGATTTATACCAACATGCAACGTGAGCACTGAAACTAGTTGATGTCTGTCACTCTGTCAGTGTCCCAACTTTTTCATACACAACCTTAGAGCCCAACATCCTTAACCCTAATCCTAAAAACAAAATAAAATGACAGCAATCCAACTACCCAAGATTGATAAGCCAAATTCTTACCAAGATTCCTCCTTTATGTACCCAACAATGTTTTTAGATACCCAGAAAGCGTGGGTTAAATGGGTAAAACATGATTAAGGTCATGAGTTCGATTCCTGCCAACATCTTTTCGGGTACAAAAACATCTTTTGAATGTGATTTGCAGACTCTTACACAACCACACGGGAGCTAAATAGAGTATAGAACGTGTGGGTGTCAGCATTTCCATTAAAAGCCTAGCACAATGTTAAAATGAGATATGGGTAAATTTGACTAAATGTAAGTGCTTGAAGGGACAGGTGAGTTGTCAAGGGACCAATGGAGAAGAACATGAGGAATCTTTCTCCATAAGAAGTTGTTTTCAGTGCCCCAATTCTCCTCTGGAAGCCATCCTCAGTCCTCAGATCAGATTGTGTGCTCAGTGTCAGATGCCACTGCCTCATCTCCCCTTCCCAGTTTCCACTACACTGTGTTTCATGGTCTACCTGCTTCTGCTTCCTGATCATCAAATCTTTGAGATATCCCACAAATGTTCCCTACTTGACAAATTTTACCCATAATAACGCTTATAAAAAGTGTTGATGATAATCTTATCGTATTATTGACAAAAGTTCTTACTTTAGACTCCGGGTTGGAATGAATCGATTTGCGTTTTAAAAGATGGGAATGGCCAAAACAAACCACTGCCCACCAAAGCACTAGCTTGTACCCCTTACCCTACCTAAATGCTTTCTTCTTTTTTTCTTGGGGAAATCTTTGCTAGCTCCTCCATTAACTGCAATTGTTGATTTTGAAATCATGATTTCTTGAATGAATATAGGCTGCATATTTGCAGATATATACATACAATCCACTAGTGGTGGTGTGTGTATATCTGTATATCTCATCTCACATCATTCTCTCATGTCAACTATTGGATGATGAGAGAAATCCACCTGCAACCATCACTGAGAGTGTGCATTAGGTAAATCTATTTCTGTGTAATGTCAGCGAACCACAAAATAAGGTAAACAAGAAGACCTCATGCAATGGACTCGACCGAGAAAGTGTTGACAAGAATCAAACTTCTGGTATAAGAATCATATTTTACTCACTCAGTCACTTTTTCGAGGTAACTATTGAATATTTTTAAAGTATAAGATGGTTGGAGTGGGATGAAATGTGGGCATAACATAATGATGTTAAGTTTGAAGAGTTGTAAGTCAACCAAAATGCTACTACAATGGTGCATCTTCTACCTCCCATCAATTTGCACCACATAGAGCACCCACCATTCTCAAACACCATGAAAGTCATTTTCTCTCAATGTATAACCATACTCTAGCAATGCACAAACATAGATCCAACTAGACAGGCAAAAAAATGGACCGAAAAGCAGTGGGGGAGTCGGCCATCTCCTCCACACACTCCCTACTAATGTGACACACGTCGATTAGTTCAGAAAAACACGTGATCATATAATACTTCATGAGAGTACACCAAGCAATTCTCGAAATAGACTCAAATGGAGAGATAAAAAAGGAACGATAAGCTGTTATAGGAGTCAACAAGAAAATGTATGTATAGTTGTATACATCTTAATTATGTATGTAGCAACATAACTGAACCTGTTAGTAGTATGAGAAGTCGTTTTTTTGGCTCATGTTTCAGTGCAGAAACACAGGCTTTGTGCATCTATACACAACATTAGACAATAATTTCACATTATCCAAAAATAAAAAATAGAAATCAGTAGATGTATTGCACTGAGATCTGAAGCTTCTTTTCCATTAGAGTCTTCCATGGCGGGGTGTATGGTTTACGAGGTAGCTTCCTTTGTCGAAATAGTAAGGGCAACCTAGTATCGAATCTGTTATAACCCCACGGGATTGACAAGGTTGGAGAGGTGGGGAGAGAAATTTTCTTTGTACAGGATATATATATTCAGAATAATTGGAAGAAAAGGCTCGTGGATCCATCTCCAAAGGATCGTAGATCAGCGGGTCTAACCAAGGCTCTGCACAGAGGGCACGTTCTTTCTCTTTCAAACCTGGAACATAGGTGATGCCACATTATCGTTAAATTTGGCATTTTGATTTCATATTTTTCATGTCATGAAGATATGAAATCGGGATTA